CCCCTGTCCCGGCCGCCGGGGGGGGCCGGAGGGAGGCGGGGGCGCCGTTAAACCGCCGCCTGGCGCGGGAGGCGGCAAGGTACGAGTTTACCGGAGCGAGTGAGGAGCAATCCCGGGAGAGCCATTTCCTCACGTTCCGTTACTCTTGCCACGGACCGATCACTTCACTCGCGACAGGCGATCGAGAGCTGCCTCAGTCCCTTCAAACACTGAAGCAGGAGCTGCAGCCCAGCGTCAGCAGAACCGGAGTAACGCGCGTTCGCGGTACCTGGGCTTTGGGCTCCCGAGCCTCCGCGGCCCCCGGCCCACAGGCACGTTCGTCCGTGTGTCTGTCTCCCCTGCATTGCTCGCTGCACCTGAAGCTTTGGCCAAGCTATGGTGAATGTGTCAGTTCAGCTGTGCAATACTGTCACTGTCCGCAGTACAGAAAAAAAGCCTGCGATAACAGAACGAAAAATGTGGAAACAGGGAAAAGGCTTATGTAGGGTCATAATCCAAAACCGTATTGAAAATGGAAGCAATGCTAAACTGCACAAGAAAAACAAAAATAAAAATTTTACAAATGTAATGTTATTTGAACAAATGCGGATCACAGACGTTTCTGTTGGCTGGCTATACCCCTTTGAACAAATTCTACCATGATTTGATTTTAGTGTATCATAGTTATTAAGACACTATTCTTCAGCTTAGCTTTTGTGGTTTCATATTCCGAGCAGCAGAATAAATTATCTTGTATAACGGAATGAGGTATCTTCTTTCCAGGTAGGAGAAGGATGCTGTAGCCGTTACAGTGCTGGCCAGTATGCTGAAGCACCTGCATTTTTTTTTCCTACTCTGCCACAGGCTTCCTCAGTGAACTTGGGTAAGTCAAGCCCTGATCCTTTGAAGGCACCGAATACCTACTAAGGATTTCCTTTTGTCTCCGTTTTTCATCTTTAATAAGGAATTACAGTATTTCTTCAAGCAGATTTTCAGGGTAAAAATATTAAGAATGAGGAGTGGCTTGGATATGTGGCAGTGGATGAGGTGGTGGGAGCTTGTTAGCTCTTCGAGAGTATTGCCTTGATTGAATAGCATAAATTTAAATGTGGGATATAATCAAGCTTAGCTCCTTGATAAACAAAATTATAAGTTTCTGATATAGTACTTCACCGTTTTAAAGTTAACTTTCAAGCAATAATTACGTATTAACATGGAACTTTGTCAGCCACCAAGTAGGATTCATCATGGTAGAAGACTTGCTTGTAGCTAAACTAAAGTTGCTAGTCCAACTCTATCCTTTCAGAAGCTTTGATACGTTTATTAGACATAGTCGTCTCTCCTCACTGCCTAAGCTTTCGAAGCATCAGACAGAAAGTAAGTCTGCTGGAGGACTTTCAGAGTGACTGATCTGCGAGGGAGTTTGAATGCTGATTCTGTAGCCTAAGTAAAGTGAAAATTATTGGAGTTGGTTCCCTTTTTTTTTTTTTTTTTAACTTAAGTCCTTTACAATAGTAGTATTTCCTCTTGTGAAATGTAAAGTGCAATTGCTTCTGGCTTGCTTTCTTTGTGAGCTAGTTCAGCTGCACACAGCTGAGCTGAGACTTGACTAGCACAGCTGTGCTCCTTTAAAACAACAGACAATTATTTTTTTTCCTACAAACTGCCAGGGATTCATGAATCTGGTCCTTTTTACTTTCTGCACTTATGCAGTTAACTTACAATTACATTGTTTGTTCAGAAGTGGTAATAAGGTCTCTAAACCCATGAATCAAGAAGGAAAACTTGAGTTGGAATGTATATTGCCTATCCTCAGTATGGAGTTTGAAATCCATATGCTGCTTAAAGGCTCAATAGAAGCAGGCTTTCCCAAAGCTGTAGTTTTGGGGGGGTTTGGGTGTGTGTTAACTAAGAGGAATGCCTCACAGTTGTGATTAAATAGACTTGTATTTATCACAGGTTTATGTACGATCTTCCATTGCTATTTTAATTTTTCTAGGATAAATGGGTGTATATGACTTTTTCCCTCGATCTAAAGCGGTTCCATGTCTTGTTTGGTAAGTTTGTATTTTAAAATCTTTGGCAGTTGTGCCTTGTTACCAAGTCATACCTTAACGTGAAACAGTTCTGGTGAAATGTCTTGCTTGAGGGGATTTCCATAGTGCTGAGATGTTTAAACTTCATTGTACTAACTATCAGTGAAGGAGACTGTTTAGTATGTCTTCTCTCTAGGTCTGCCATGTATGTGCTCTATGCTGTTTCTTAACCTCTTGCTTGACTGACTTGTAGCAGAAAACTTTCTGAACTCCTGCTTATAGGGGCTACTTTTGATGTTGTCCCACTGCCACATTTAATAAATTGCAGCAACTCCACTCACACTCACTTGTTTCTGTTCTGAAGGACTGTTCCTGTATTCTCCGTACACCAGTTGAACCAATCGGACCAGAAGAGCTATCTCAGAGCAGCGTCCATGAATGCCCGGTAAGAAGAAAACAGAAACATTAACTGGCAATGTTAAATACAAAGCTGGTACATATTAAAAATAATGTCATTAGGGGGTACTTCTTAAAATGTTAACAGCAAAAATAACCAGAGTAGTTCCACTTTGGAAGAAGACTATAGGTGACTAAGTGTTACTCTTAATCTTGTACCAGTTTAAAAATAAAACACACACACCCATGGAAAAAAAAAAACAACAAACCAAAACAACCAAAACCAAAACAAACCCAAACAAACAGTAGCTCATAAAACTAAGTGTTAGTGTAATGGTAAAAGCATCAGCTTGAATGCTTTGACTTGAATACTTGATCTTAGCATTCTAATTAATGATATTTCTGCGTTAATTTTAAACAGGTAAATGTTTACAAATTACATAGTAATTTTGAGAACTGTTTTTCCTCACTGTTAGGCTGATTCTGATCTAGCCTGGATTCCCCCATCTATAGGAAGGAATGAAATGGTATTTTGCTCTTCTAATGTCTCTCACTATGAACTCCAGCTGGAAATAGGTAACATAAGTGTACCTTAAAATATGTCTTGTTCCTGCAGATGCATGCTCTCAATAGGTTATTGCTAAGTGCAGTACATAATAAGTTTGGAAAATCTATTATCAGTTGACTCAACTATTTTTGTGTCTCCTTAGTTGAGAAAAAGTGCAGAACATTGCTCATGTTTCAGTAATCACTTATTTTAAGATATAAGACAAATCAACAATTACCTGAATTTTTTTCTTGATGTTTGTGCATATCAGTTTTATAAATCTGTGGTATGTGGACAATACAGCATTAAGTAACATCATGCCTTGTCACTTGGCTACCCGAGTTGATTGTCCTAAGGATGGCTGCCCCGAATCCTACTGTGCGTGCATATGTTTATGTGAATATGCATGCTCAAAGTGTTGTTCATTTAGATGTGCAATTGATACTGACAAATGTTTAAACATTTTTAGTTGTTCTAAAAATAGCAGAGCCGTGCTTTGACTAATTTGCTGGATATATTTTGCTGCAACTACTTAAGTTCTTGACATTCTTAAAGAAGAGGTCATGCTGCTATCAATTGCAGTTTTAGAACTGTAAAATTATCTCTAAATATGAAGGAAATTATGTGGTGGATTATTTTTCCAATGTTAAGGCAGCCACTTCTGGTTTCAGGAAGGAGGTTCAACAACTTAACTTCAGTCTACCTTGCACGGCATACACCTACAGGCATGCAAGTTGCCGTAAGGATCACAGACCTAGAAAACTGCTCTGAAGAGCATTTGAAAGCCTTACAGGTAAAGCAACAGTGAGGAATACATATGAGGTTACTAAACAGAGGTAGCCTTTGTATTGGGTCATTTCAGTCAAGTTTTTCCTTCAGAGGAGTAGAATATGAACACAAGGCATGTGTAAATTTGAGAGTTGCTTTCTGAAGAGAACAATTGACAAGTGTTTTAGAAATACTTGTGTAATTCTACAATTTCTTCTTTGAAACGTGTTCTGTACTCTGTATTGAACACCAAAACTTCAGACTATGAGCAAACTAGATTTACTTCAGCCAAATGCAATTATAGGCAAGTTATTTACATTTCTATTGCAGGCTATGCACATCACCTGCAACTTTGTATAAATTCACACAGGGAGCAGTTCTTTCTACTGATTACTGACCTAGTTAATCTTCTTAGTAAGACTGTTGTCTTGTGGTTAACACATCCACTTTCATTTAATTCCATAGAATGAGGTGGTTTTATCCCACTTTTTCCAGCACCCCAACGTAATGACGCTTTGGACAGTGTTTACAGCTGGTAGTTGGCTTTGGGTCATCTCCCCATTCATGGCCTATGGTAAGAACTGTTAAGTACAGTTTTGGAATTGGAAAAAGGGCTGATACAATTTGGATCACATGGTCCATGACAGGTTTTTCTTTAAGCATCTCCTGTCTTGTAGAAAGAGACAAACTTTCCCAAACCTTTTGTTTAGGGAAGTCTTCTATACATAATCTTCCTCCATAGTGAAGATTGATATTTGAACTGCATTAAATTGCCCTTAGTCCTACCACCCACCATGTGAGGAATGATAATTGGGAGCTGTATTTGACTTCATACAATTTTGAATTTTGCCAACAGAAAACTTACCTGGATTGAATACAGGTTTGGCATAGACTTTCAGTTAACAGAAGCATGACTTGAATGTGATCTTTGCCTGATGGATGCATCTATGTAACTGTTCTCGATGTACCATAGTCAATATAAAGATGAGAATGCTGCTCTTGATCAATGTATACAGTGAAGTAAGCATAGACAAGTAGTTTAACAAGACTTGTTAGGCTTAGCTAGTTTTATTTTTCACTTCCAGGTTCGGCTAGACACCTGCTGAAGACTTACTTTCCTGAAGGAATGAGTGAAGCTTTGATAGGGAACATTCTATTTGGTGCAATCAGAGGATTAAATTACATGCACCAGAACGGCTACATTCACAGGTAGGAGAATGTCAATAGGTAAGAATCAGATTACAGCATCCAGTTTATTAAGAATTTAGTTTCACTTCAAAACTCATTTTCAGCTTAAGTGTTGTCTCCTTCCTTTTTCTATATATCTTCTTATGTCAGACAGTGCAGAAACATTTTTAAAAATAATACAGCAGAACCAAGTTTGTAGAAGCTTAACAAGAATGGTATTTGTACATTATTTAAAGCCAATCGTTACAGGGATTACACAGCTGTCTGGCTTTGTCTCTTTGAAGCGGGAGAATTAGAGTTGTAGAAAGGGCTTCCTTACTTTACACCCTTTGCAGGGAAGGAGGGCTGTTCTCCAGTTTCTGTTTCTGGCAGTTTTTTCTTGCTGATCATCTCTCCTCTCTCTTGGCGCTGTATTAAAAAGACAACTCAAACTGAGTGAAGAACTTCCATTAAAATAATCTGCTAAATAGAACGGCATGCTAACATCTTATTATAAGTTAATGAAATATGAAAGCCTTTCTACTCTAGTAGTGCTTTAAGTAATTCTTATAACTAAAATTTACCACTTTATGTTACAGGAATATTAAAGCTAGCCACATTCTGATTTCAGGGGATGGGCTGGTTTCTCTCTCTGGCTTAAACAACCTCTACAGTTTAGTCAACAATGGACAAAAGTCAAAGGTGGTATATGATTTCCCCCAATTTAGTACATCTGTGCTTCCTTGGCTGAGTCCTGAACTACTGAGACAGGTTAGTATAAATTATACCTCAGTTACTGGAAGTACTCGACTTCTAACTTCAGTCTGCTTGTAGAAGAGCAATGGAAGCTGTTGAACTGCAACTTTTTAAAAGACACAGATGTACTGAATTTGTAATTCTCCTAAAGAGAACTGGTTTTAAGCTGTTGCTAAGGTGGTGCTGTACTCTAAGTCTCTTTACCTGACCTTCCTGGAAACTACTGCAGATCCTAAAACTTGTCTTCAGTAAAACCATCAGATTTCTGAACAAAGCCTGAGGCTGCACAATTTAATTGCCTCAATCCTGTGTAGATTACAGGGTATTAGAATCCTGTCATGGAACAGACACTTGTATTTTTGTTGGCCACTGCTCAGTGGCATCAGTGATCCAGTTTTCTTTCTCTCACAGGATTTGTCTGGGTATAACATGAAGTCTGACATTTACAGTGTGGGAATTACAGCATGTGAATTAGCCAATGGACATGTTCCTTTTCAAGATATGCCTCGCACTCAGGTATGATGCTAAACTCTATTTCTACTTCAGAACACTCTGAGCTTTTTTTTTTTGTTTTACTCAGAGAAACCAATGCTATTACTGTTGAAATGGTGGCTGCTTTTTGTTATTTCAAATATGCATGCTTCTTTCTACATCAAATAATCCTTCCATTCCTGGAGTTTCACAGCTTAGCCTGAATAGGTCTGGATAGCTGTTGGACTCTTATACTGCTATTCCTTTCTACTAGATGCTGCTGCAAAAGCTGAAGGGTCCCACATATTATCCTTGGGATATAAATACCTTTCCCCGTGGGGAATCCAGGATGAAGAATTCCCGATCAGGTGTTGATTCTGGAATTGGTGAGAGCATGACACGCACAATGACCAGCGAAAAACTACAAATTCCCTTTTCCAAAACGTTTTCACCTGCTTTCCACAACTTGGTAGAACTTTGCTTGCAACAGGACCCTGAGAAAAGGTAACCGTCTAGTGAAAACTATTTTTCTGTCACTTCAATCTAAGACCAAGTATAGCCCATAATTTAGGATACAGTAATTACTTGAATACTGTTAAAGTCAGAATTTCAGACCAGAAGTACTATGCAAAACACTACACTTACCTTTGGTTTTGTAATTTATCTTGTCTGATAAAGGAACCATGCTTTTAAAGTCGTTTGACCCCTGAATTTCTTGTAATATGAAGGTACTTTGTAACAAGTAAAATTAATTTTTAAACATGCACTTTGTCCAAGAAAAAAACCCAGAAATCTGAAGTATATGCTTTCAGTACTATGTCTCTTCTGAATAAGGCATTAAATTCCTTGTTAAACAGAAAAGTGAAAAAGCCTTTAAAAACAGATTTCTTTGGTCGTGCCTTCACTACAAATTGAGTCATACAGTGTAGGAATTCTGTGCTGCTTTTCTCATGCTTCACATTTGTCCTGTGAATGAAAAACCACAGGCCTTAAACTGATTTGTCAGTCTGGCCCATTTTCCAAAAGCAGTATTTTACTTTCCAAAACATAATTATATTGTTCATTTTATGATCCAGGCCATCAGCAAGCAGTTTGCTTTCGCATACGTTCTTCAAACAGGTAAGTTTACTACATTTTGTTAAATGACACAGCTATAACCTAAGCCACAAAATTTTAGAGTTGGATTACAAAATAATTAAGTTAGCTAGATATAAAAAATATCCTGTAACAGCATATCTGTTTCAGACTACTTTTTTTTTTTTTTTAATAAAATGGTACTGAGTATAGGAAGCGTAAGAGTAATCCACTTCCCCTTTGCTAAAGTTGGTTTAACTTAACTAAAGTCAGCCTAACTAATAAGAATAATGGTTAATATTCTTAATTTAAAGCAGAATGGCATAGCTAATGTAATTAGTCTTGAAAGACTAATTCAACTTACTCGAGAGTGAGGAAAGCTAAACCCTCATCCTGTTATTTTCAATATTGTAACATGGAAGAACATGGCTCTGATTTCACATGCTTTTAATGAAGTCAGATGCAAGGTTATATAGACTTTTATGTGCAGCCCTGTTTTAACTTTTCTTCTTTCTAGATAAAAGAACAAACACAGAATTCACTACTGTCTCTATTACCACCTCCTATTCAAAATAACAGATCAGAGTTCTTGGCACTGCCCTCAACAGCAGTTGGGACTGAACTTGGACATGTTACTGCAAATCAAGATGATACAGACTGGGAATTCTAAATAAATACCAAACAATCATACCTCTCCTGTGCTTCAAAGAAGGAAAATGTGATTTGTATTTGCTGCTTTAGTTTGTATGGTTAAAATACAATTAGACAAGGTATTACTTGAAAATGCCATTGAAGTGGCCATCTTTCGTTAACTACTTCCTATGTTGGCATCATGAAGTGCAGTGTGCCTCACTTTCTGACCGTAAGGAAGACTGTATATAAAGAATGGCTGAATGCTTATCTCCCTATTTCAAAATATTTCTTAACAAGAGAGTTCCTGCTGTAATGTTACTCTATACTGTGTTTTCAGCAGTCCACGTGCCTTTCTGAATTCAGGCTTGGGTTTTGTCTATGACCTTACTTACACAATCTATTTGTCTTTTCCTTATCACCCAAATTATTTTAGTAAGAAGAAATCCTCCATTTCCAAGTCTAAATTTGAAACTGCACAAATTAGTTGCTTATGCAAATAAATGTTTCTCTTTTCACACATCCCGAAAGGCATTCTTCTCACTTGACGTGCTGTCATACTTGCCAAAAGTTAGCTATGCATCATTTTTCATGCAGTTTTAATACTGCATGTATCCCAAAGAAGTTCAGCTACTTGAAAATAGGACTCATGCTTTTGCATTTGTCTACATTCTTAGTACAAATTTGTGCTTTTGCATCTCCATTCATTGTTGTGTCATTTTAGCAATTAATCTGAGAACCTCTTACTATGCAAAGTTAAGTCTCAAGTTATAACAGGTACGGGTTAATTTTGAAGAATCGTATTAAATAATCTAAAGTTACTGTACACATTTTTTTTTATGCTCTATTCCTGTTCACCACCAGAACTTACCAGAACCTTACACTGTTTTCTTAAAAAAACAGGCAACATGCATTAAGCTTCACTGGCACTGCTGCTGACACACAAGCCTCTTCTGCAAGCCACAGTTAAATTCACATGGATAGGTTCAGCCATAACAAGAACCTAATAAACCCCCCTGGGATCCTAGTGAATTTATCTGTTCAAAGTCAGGTGAAAAACTGCCTTTCTTCTCCCTACAATTCAGTACATTCTCATCTCTCATACCATAACAGGCAACTCAAGCTGAAAAAAAGCAGCTTCTTTTTTAAAAAAAAAGCTGCATATTCTCATTGTGTTTTCGCAAAAGTTGTGTCCCAAAGCCACTAGTAGTTTACTGATCAAATTTTTACTTTATTGAATGGATATATTTTAAATTTTCACCATAAACAACATTCCACATTAAGTCTTTGTCTTCCATAGCTGAGCTGGTCTGCAGCCAACCTTGAGAATACTACTTTGCCAGCAGCTTCACTACAAAGCCTTGAAGACCACATGACCAAAATGCAAGCCTGACAGAGACATAAAATTCTAAATGACCACATTAAAGTATTAACAAAAAAAGTTAATTCTACTTGTTATGCTGTGAAGAGAGCTCTATATTTCAAAACCTAATATGTGAAACTTAAGATTAAAAACCTTTCAATAAACTTACGCTGTCTGTCTCCATTTATTTCTGTAATTCTTGTACTTCTGTTTTCATTGTAGTCCAGTCATACCAACACAGCCTCTTGTTACTGCAGGAAAGAAGTTTCATATTTATGTCAGTCATTAGGTGAGAAAATAGTTGTTAAAACTAGAAAATTACTCTGATTATAAAAATATTAAGAAATTAATTATGCACTTTTAGAGAAGATACTATTTTCACGTGAACCCCATGTTCTTAATTCTTAACCACTACAAATTTTGACTTTTCAAGTCAAATACATTATATAGCATCTACAAGTAGCTTTTGACTAACAGTACATGTAAAAACCAAGTCAAATAAATGAGAACACATATGAAGTTGTACATATTTTAATTACAGACCTCTGAATAAACATTAATACTCTCTAAAAAAAAAACACCTGCAGAAATTTCAGGCAGCTTAGCTACTAGTATTTGCAAGCTCCTCTTGAAACAACAGGGCCGTGCACTCTATAAAAATGAACTTGGATACTAATCACAAAGTCAGTATAAATTGATTTAAACAAGCATGTGTTCCAGTGGAGTTGCTTTGCTGCAGTCTCTCTGTGGAAAAAAATAAAATTACTTATTTGTAAACACTGGTCCAGCTTCTGCACTGACATAACTTTTAAGAAGAAAATGAAATATAGTTTTGTAAGTTAAAAAGCTCACAAGTTTTACTGTTAGAACTATTGCTTTTCAACAGCTACAGTATTTTCAAACAAAAGCAATTAAGAGGCACTGTGCCTTCTAGTAATTCTTAAAATAACCAGAAATACTTGAAATTAGCCCTTGGATTATGTCTGGTGAAAGGTTTGCTGCAGTTTTGCTCATTAACTGTCATACTTTCTATTAAGGAATAATGCAAAATAAGAAATATCAGTTAAGAAAGAAGTGTATAATCATCATATTGTTAAGGAGGTTTCAGCTACCTGTCACTGAAAAGAAGTTCTTGGAAACTACTACTGAAAATCAAGTTTTTGCGTACAGTTAGTGTTTTCAAAATCTGAGATTCATCCTCTGTATTGTTAAGATTCAAGTTGCAGAGACTTTCTATTCCAAGCTGACACAGTTCTAAGCAGAATCATTTTTATTTTCTTTTTTGGAGCACTTGTTTACTCACTTTTACTCATACCAATCATGTGTTATCAGTATATGAACTAGAACGGAACTTGGACTTGAAATTTTCAAGTATTTTACATTTAGGCTCAATGTGAGGTATTTTCAAAAATTTTAACACTTTTATACATTTGCAAAATTTCATGGCCACTGAAACAAATCTATAGCTTGGTTACTTTTGCAGTACTTGTGAAAAACAACACAAGTTATTTTTGCTGCCACCTTTCTTTGTGCTAGCATTTAACACTACATAAAATAATGAAATACCTGTAACAATAAAAAACTTATGTTAATTAACATTATCCTGGATATATGCTCAATGCTGTTGAGTTTCTTACTGTCTTGGTCTGATACCACAGCAGTGTGTGAATGGCTGAATGGATCAACACAGGAAGAAGTGTGATTTACTCAGCCTCTGCTATATGCTATATATACTCTGCTTGATCTGCTATATATACTCTGCTTGATCTGCTATATGAACTACTCACTTTAAAGAGTCTCAATGCAATAAATATCCATTGAAGAGAGACCAATTTCTTCCACTTGATGCTATTAAGGAACAAAAGTAAATATTTAAAAAAAAGATTATTGAGTTCTACCTTGCCTCTCTCTCTTTTCCCCACCCCCTCCTTCTGAAGTGCTATGAAAGCAGTTTCTAGCCTAGAGGATGGGTGAAATAATGGGAAAGCATTTGAAAACCATTGTTCTGAATGTCTCTGACACGAGGCAGATAGATAGATAGATAGATAGATACCTAAGTAGGTGACGTACATACCCTGTCTTTAATGCTAGTAAGCAGCTTTGCTAAAGTATATTAGGTTGTCTAATAAACCTCTAAAAACAAGTAAGCTAGCTGTAATGACCTGTCTTGATGATGCTCATCCCTATCCTGTATGAATGAAGAAAAAAAACTACTAAAATTGAGAGATACTACACAACACATGCAGTGAGACAGACCTCAAAAGACTATCAGTAAGGACCATACTATGAAAGAAAGCTATTTGATGTAACAGACCACTAAAGACTTAAGGATTTAAAAAAGAAAGCACTGAAAAATTGAGGTGGTCTACTAACAAGAAGCTAGCAGAATAACATTTGGTATTTAACATAATTAAACCTATCCAGAAACTTGAGTTAGGATGAAGGAAAGACTATTAGGTTTAAACAGGTTCCTGTGGAAACCTCCACCATTCCCAAATGAAAACAACAGATTCTACTCCATAAATGAGTTACATAAATGTATGTTACTTATCTGAAAGTCCCATGAAGTTCCTGAAAAATGCCCCCAAAAAAGCCCATAGGAAATTAGCTGCAATTGAGTGGTGGTTTTATTTTTAGGTACGATTACAGAATACACCATTACTACTGGATTTACCCACAAATCCAGACTCATGGAATATATATTTGCCCTCTCATGAAATCCACCTGCAACAGAGGAGACCACTAATACAAGCTGAAATCTTGCCTAACAGTCTTAACAGGGCTTTCAAAGTTGAAGTTAGGGCAAAACAAATTGACACACAAGTAATAAGTAAAGGAATATTACATCAAAAATTCCTAGGAAAGAACTCTGAACCTTCAGAGTCGCTGCTTTTGCTCACTGTAGCTATAATACTGTAGTTAATGTTGATTAACCACATTAGAAAACATCCACTTGAAACAAACTCAATTTTTTTAAATACTACAGATTTTTTTCCTTTCCCACACTTTCACATTTCTGAAATACAAGATATTTTTGTTATTCTGCTAGCAGAAACACATTTTCCATCAAGGTCATTTTTTTCTTGCAATGGTCTGGTCTCTTTGCCTAATCCACTAGCCTACCACATCAATTAGTTACAATTCTAATTAAGATATTGCACAGTGTGCAACACCTTATGTTGTAAATGACCAAAGCCAGAAAAACACCTGTTACTGAATCCAAAGGTCCACTGCAATATGAAAACACATTTAATCTTGGTTAACAAATTACTTAAAGTGAAAGATGCAATAAAGATATTGCAATATGATGATGATGATGATCATTACTTTTTTTTTTTTTTTTTAATCACAACCTGGGAACATTATCTTCCCAGGTGAGATTCCATGTAAGATTTTCCTTGCCCTCTCACTTTTCTTTGGAATGGCATTCTGGATTCACTTGTCATTTTGGGGTGTCACAATTTCCAGTAATAAATCTTGGAGACTTTCACAAAATTCACCCTTTTTTAGGATTGATTTCCATTTGTTCTGCTTGAATGTTTTGATTCTCAAACTTCAAGCTGGTAGTTTGATTCTCAAACTTTACTAATAGAGGAATCCAGCAATGCAATGTAAGAATTTACAGACTGTACTCTGGAGGTCTCTTTAGGGGACCTACAAATATGTGGAATCAGTATGGTGTCTTGCAGAATACAGTGGCTGACTCATTCTCCTGGAACTCCACCTAAATCACGTAGAGCAGTCTCTGTTGCTTTTGCAAGATTCTGATATATATCCACGTTTTTATCATTATCTTCTTTGCTTGCATAATTCTGAAGGATGTTAAGCTACTTTGATCCTTGAAAAATTTTTAAAGGATGGCAGACAACATCAAAGAGATTACATTTTTTAATGATTTTTATCAATAAAAAATAATATTCAGACTTCACATTCAGTGAGAATGTATGTATGCCCAAACAGATTGGCTCTAAAATACTTTAGACCTATTGTCCTCTGTCTGTCCCCTTCTTGATGTATCTCATAACTTAGTAATCAATCAATCAGGTTTATTCTATTATTATTAGTTGTAATAAAATGTAATGTACTAGCACACAATAAGGATAGGAAATACATCATCAGCAGATTTTGCAGGATTCCTGTGAAGCCATTA